ATGTGCATATTATTATTCATGTTTACTAATATTATTCATGTGCACTAAAATTATTCATGTTTACTAATGTTATTAATGTGCAATATTATTATTCATGTGCACTAATATTATTCATGTGCAATATTATTATTTATGTGCAATATTATTATTCATGTGCACTAATATTATTCATGTGCAATATTATTATTCATGTTCACTAATATTATTCATGTGCAATATTATTATTCATGTGCACTAATATTATTCATGTGCAATATTATTATTCATGTTCACTAATATTATTCATGTGCAATATTATTATTCATGTGCACTAATATTATTCATATGCAATATTATTATTCATGTGCACTAATATTATTCATGTGCAATATTATTATTCATGTGCAATATTATTATTCATGTGCAATATTATTATTCATGTGCACTAATATTATTCATGTGCAATATTATTATTCATGTGCAAAATTATTATTCATGTGCACTAATAATATTCATGTGCAATATTATTATTCATGTGCAATATTATTATTCATGTGCACTAATATTATTCATGTGCAATATTATTATTCATGTGCACTAATATTATTCATGTGCAATATTATTATTCATGTGCAATATTATTATTCATGTGCACTAATATTATTCATGTGCAATATTATTATTCATGTTCACTAATATTATTCATGTGCAATATTATTATTCATGTGCACTAATATTATTCATGTGCAATATTATTATTCATGTGCACTAATATTATTCATGTGCAATATTATTATTCATGTGCAATATTATTATTCATGTGCAATATTATTATTCATGTGCACTAATATTATTCATGTGCAATATTATTATTCATGTGCAATATTATTATTCATGTGCAATATTATTATTCATGTGCACTAATATTATTCATGTGCAATATTATTATTCATGTGCACTAATAATATTCATGTGCACTAATATTATTCATGTGCACTAATATTATTCATGTGCAATATTATTATTCATGTGCAATATTATTATTCATGTGCACTAATATTATTCATGTGCAATATTATTATTCATGTGCAATATTATTATTCATGTGCACTAATATTATTCATGTGCAATATTATTATTCATGTGCACTAATATTATTCATGTGCAATATTATTATTCATGTGCAATATTATTATTCATGTGCACTAATATTATTCATGTGCAATATTATTATTCATGTTCACTAATATTATTCATGTGCAATATTATTATTCATGTGCACTAATATTATTCATGTGCAATATTATTATTCATGTGCACTAATATTATTCATGTGCAATATTATTATTCATGTGCAATATTATTATTCATGTGCAATATTATTATTCATGTGCACTAATATTATTCATGTGCAATATTATTATTCATGTGCAATATTATTATTCATGTGCAATATTATTATTCATGTGCACTAATATTATTCATGTGCAATATTATTATTCATGTGCACTAATAATATTCATGTGCACTAATATTATTCATGTGCACTAATATTATTCATGTGCAATATTATTATTCATGTGCAATATTATTATTCATGTGCACTAATATTATTCATGTGCAATATTATTATTCATGTGCACTAATATTATTCATGTGCAATATTATTATTCATGTGCACTAATATTATTCATGTGCAATATTATTATTCATGTTCACTAATATTATTCATGTGCAATATTATTATTCATGTGCACTAATATTATTCATATGCAATATTATTATTCATGTGCACTAATATTATTCATGTGCAATATTACTATTCATGTGCACTAATATTATTCATGTGCAATATTATTATTCATGTGCACTAATAATATTCATGTGCACTAATATTATTCATGTGCACTAATATTATTCATGTGCAATATTATTATTCATGTGCAATATTATTATTCATGTGCACTAATATTATTCATGTGCAATATTACTATTCATGTGCACTAATATTATTCATGTGCAATATTATTATTCATGTGCACTAATAATATTCATGTGCACTAATATTATTCATGTGCACTAATATTATTCATGTGCACTAATATTATTCATGTGCATTAATTTTATTCATGTGCACTAATATTATTCATGTGCATTAATATTATTCATGTGCACTAATATTATTCATGTGCACTAATATTATTCATGTGCACTAATATTATTCATGTGCACTAATATTATTCATGTGCACTAATATTATTCATGTGCATTAATATTATTCATGTGCATTAATTGGTCATGTTATAACAACCTTCTAGATGACCCTTTTTGCTTACATTATTGAATTATTAAATATTATCATATGTTTACTTGCAGGAGATCAAATATGGCAGTCGCTACAGCAGCAGTACGCTGAGTAATGGCATGAGTCTGCATCTGGGCGGATCATTGGACCGCAGCCGCACCCGAAGTGGGCGGGACAAGTGTGTGGGTGGAGCCGGGCCGGTGAGCGGAGCTACAGCGAGGTGGAGCCGTCGTGAAATCTGCCTTCTGTCCGCACTGGTGTTTGCAGCAGGAATGTGTGTGATTCTGGGATGCATGTTAGCATTAAAGTTCCTGTCGCTCGATCGCAGGATTCTCAGTGTCGCCAGGATTGTGTGAAACGGCGTTCGCTTTTACGCGCCGCTAGATTCGTTCAGGGAAATATCGACCCCAGCGTTCAGCCCTGTCATGACTTCTACAGCTTTGCGTGTGGAGGATGGTTACGCAGACACGGGATACCAGAGGATAAACTGAGCTATGGGATTATCACTGCTATTGGAGAACAAAACCAGGACAAACTGCAGCGCCTCCTACAGGCACCGGTGCAGAGGAGAGAGCTCGAGAGTGCAGAGAGAAAGGTGCAAAAACAGATTATTCATGTGCTTTGATATTATTCATGTGCTTTAATATTATTCATGTGCATTACTATTATTATTCGTGTGCATAAATTAGTCATGTCCACAAGTATTATTCATGTGCATTAATATTATTATTCATATCCATTAATATTATTATTCATGTGCATTAATATATTAATCATATGCATTAATATTATTCATGTGCTTTATTATTATTCATGTGCAAAAATATTATTATTTATGTACATTATTATTATTTATGTGCAATTAATA